TCTTTCTATTTTTAGTAGAGACAGGGTCTCGCTCTTGCTCAGGCTGGTTTCAAACTCCTGAGCTCAAACAATCCGCCCGCCTCGGCCTCCCAGAGAGCTAGCAAGCAGTATTTTTAGAGCTCAGAAACTAAATTTGTCTTTTTATGATGATTAGTACCATTTTAAATGAACTAAAATTGCTTTGCATAAAGAGACATATCTGTGTCTCCAGTGTTGTTTTCACGGTTTAATTTTTTACGTAAATAGAGTATTGGTTGTTTTATTTGCTGAATTCTCCTGTCCATATGAGCCTGGTTAGGAAGGGAAGTGCCAAAGTAGAATTGAATAGCACTAAAAAAAGGGTTAGAGAATTGTTAGAGGCAAATAATGTCTCCTCCTTAACTTTGATCAAAACTGGCACTGTCCAAGAGTCATTGGAATTATATGTGGTGTTGAATCAGTAGTGACCCCTGGGATACAATTAGGCAGGGCTTGTGAATATTTTGTGTAAAATTGGTAATTGTTTTCTTGAAAACCAATCTTATAGGTACCCTTCATTATAAATACATTATGGGATGCTCTTCTGGAACTAGATGATCTAACAGCTTCAACAAATAGTATTATGACTCTTCTTTCATCCTTGTTAACTTATCCTCAGGTCCAACAATGCAGGTAAATATTTCTAATTAATGGAATAAAGTAAAAAGCCTTTACATACCTTTCCAGATAATTAAGCCTAAACAAAATATTTTGGCACCTTTAAGAATAGTACTGTAAGTTGAGATTGCCAAAGAGTACTATTTTCAGGGGGCCTTTTCTTCTTCTAGCCACTAGCACATTTGGGGAAGGAGCTTATAAATTATAAATATCATTTTCCTTACCGTTTGGTTACTTCAGTTATATAATTCATTACCCTGTTTATCTTATAATAGTTTACTTTAGAAATATAATTGTTGCATATTATTTCCAGCTCTAGCTGCAGAATATAGAATTTTAGCCTTATTTAATGACATTTGTTAATGGGATTATCATTGAACCTCAGCTTTATATTTTCTAAAACTTCCCCTCTGTAAACTTTTTCTTTATAATGTACATTTCTTCAACTCTTGTTCTTGATTTTACCAGTTACTTATGAGGAAGGGAACACATAATAATGTAATACAATGCTCAAAATCAAAGATGAGATAAAGCCAGAAACATACACCAAAAATTTAAAGTGTCATTGATTTTCCTATCCTGATATTTGAAGTGAAGATCAGCTAATTAATGTATTCCCTATCTTTTAGACAGACTCCTGAATATTATTATATCAGAGATAGAGAATAGTATCCTTAGAGATAGAGAGGAAAAAATTATTATGCAATTTTCAAAAATTCACAGATGAGAAAATTAATGTCTTTAGTGAGGACATTCAGTGACTAGAAAAACTAGATAATATAAGAAAATGAAAGAATATAGTGAAAATTTTGTTCATATGCTTATGATTATAGATGATTTCTGGCTCTATGAGTGACTATTTCCAGTGAAAACCATAGATGTGTGAAAAACATGTAGAGATTGTTTTAAATAATACTGACCTACTACTGGTAGTACTTTAATGCTAAATTTATGTTAGTAGACAGCCCACAAGTAGGCATAGCAAAATAAGTGCCCATGAAAGCAAAAATGAAATGATAATGCAAAGACTACTATTTTCAAGAGGCCTTTTCTTCTTCTAGCCACCAGCACATTTGGGGCAGGAGCTTATAAACCCATCATATATTGGGCTTCCTAATTTTTGGATATTTTTATGACTAATGAAAGCTATACAATTTGAATGAGTTAATCTATGTGAAAACCCTCTGTAAGCTGCAAAATGCAGGGGTTTTTAATTACTGTAAAACGTGGGGTAGTAAACTTTTTCTATAAAGGCTCAAATAGTGAATATTTTTGCTTCGTGAGCCAGACAGTCTGTCAAAACTAACTCTGTCACTGTAGTACGAAAACAGCTATAGACAATATATGTAAAGTAATGAATGTGCCTGTGTTTCAATAAAACCTTTATTTTAAAAAAAATGGGTGGGATGGATTTGGCCTATGGGCCTTAGTAGATGGTGTCAGGAAAAACTAGATAATATAAGAAAATGAAAGAATATAGTGAAAATTTTGTTAATGTGAAATAATGTAGATTTCCATCTTTTTTGTTTCAAAATTGCCTTATTAGAAAATTTTCTTCATATATTGTGATATTTGGCAGATACTTTCCAGCTTATGTAAGAAGAAATGCAGCATGTCATTTGAAGCATGAACAATTATACTATTAACAAGACCTTGTTATAGTGCTTTTATGTATTTTGAGTCTTTTTTATGTCTGTGTATGCATGTGTTTAAATTAGAATTTTATAAGTTAACTTACTAAATGTGTAAGTAAGTGTAAGAAGTAATGTTCATACAAACCTGCAAGTAATTAAAATAGTGTTAAAAGATAGGCCTCCTGAGAGGAACCACAAAAGACAAACAAATAGTTACACTGGTATATTCTTTTTTGTTCATGCCTTTTTCTACAGAGGCATATATTTCAAATGCTGCTTATCAATCACTTCCTAATTCCAGGTAACTTACAAATAGTTCATGACTGTGACAGGAATCTTGTGGTTCAAGCTAGCCTAGACCTGGCTTTGCTTGTTTCCCCATTTAAAATCTAATCTGTAAGAAGGAAGAAATTTGAGTTTTCCTTACTTAGTAATGCTAAATCAGAGTAATAAATTTCAAAGCTACTACCATACCACCTCTTGCTCATTTGATATATTGCAGAGATGACTCCAAAGAGGGAAACCTTTGGGTTTAGCCATGGGGAAGGAATAAGGATTAGCAATTCTGATTGTGTAGGCTTACTACTAGCTATTATAAGATACATGTCCTATTTTCCTGAGTAAGAATAATTATAAGGGCAGTTATATTGGCAAATTATAACTTGATAAGGATAATACATAGGATTAGTGCCATAGAAGAACCTAATGTTAGTATTTCTACCCTTCATTACTGCATTTGCTCTGGCTCTTCTGGTGCTATAATAACAGTTTTGAATGACAGTGTTAAGGGAATGTTCATATGAAAATTGTATTATCTTTTTAGAATTTATTCATTAAAAAGTCACTTTTTGTCAGCATCACTAGGTCCACATGAGAATGATATTTAGATACTGTATCTACAGAGTTTCTACTGAGAATAAGTAAGATTGATTTGTGTCTCCTTTATTAGTATTCAGCAGTCACTCACAGTTTTAGTTCCACGTGTCTGGCCTTTTTTGCATCACACTATATCATCAGTTCGAAGAGCCGCATTGGAAACTCTGTTTACGTTATTATCAACACAGGACCAGGTAAGAACTAATAACTATATACAGCAATCTTGAAACTTATATAAATTAATTTTGTAAAACAAACCTGACCATTAGCTTACTTTTGCTGCATACTCCATGATTAGGAGAATTCTGGGCCTAGTAGAAGTGGTATGGTAACCATGTGGAGATACATATAATCACTGTGAGGGCAGAAATATTTTAATATTTTATTGTAGGTTGTATTCTTAGCACTTGGAATAGTGCTTAACACATAGGAGGTACTGAGTAAATATTTGTTGAATGAATGATTGCTTAGTCCCTTCCTGTTGGAAACCTGTTATTTAGTCTTTGCTTGCTCTTTTTCTGTATGAGTGACTATTGGGTGGTTGGCAGAACTCATCCCAGGTTAGAAGGCTGCATTTGAAGCTCTGAAGTATAACTGTTAAAGACTGACCATGGAATTCCCAGGCTCTTGCCTCCTCTTAAAGATTACTCAATCTGAAGAATATGCTATTTCCAAGGATATAGTATACTTGAGGAGTCGTGTATTGTGATGCCTATAGAGATCATTCAGGTAATATCAGTGTGTGAATGGAGCCTGTAGGGAGCTGAGGAGTCCTTGCCCTGTTTTTTATAAAAAGCTTCACATTCCTATTTTTTAAATAACCTTATAGGTCAACCAAAATACTTAGAATTTAGGAAAATATCAGTAAGAATTCCATTCTTCTAGCATGATATTATACATAGGTACTATAGTTTGGGCCAATCATCTTTAAAAAACAGTGGTTAATTTTTTTAAACAATAGATTATCGCATGAATAAATGCCTCTTTTATGTTTACTAACTGTGCGTTTCCATGTGAATTAGGAATATTCCATGTAGACGTGCTTTAATCTTCAGCATGGTATTGTATTGAACTTTTGTGAATAAACATCTGTAAATTTTGTTTTGCATTATACCTTTGCTTTTTGTCTAATCAGAATCTACTCTGGAACAACTGTCAGGTCTGTTTTATAATTCTCAGTAGATCAGGCATGGGCTGATGTGACAACTGGCATGGGGTGTTCTTAATTTTCATTTCATCTTTGTTTTAATTTTGTGATTTTTGCCTAAATGTTTTTGATATTCTTAAATTCACTTTATATAGATCCCTTGAAGTTATCATATTTCTTCCTTTCACATGATTCTTTTTTTATATATAGACTTTATTTTTAAGAACAGTTTTAGGTTTACAGAAAAGTGGAGGGAAAAGTACAGTTCGTATATACCCTTTTATATCCCTCCCACCACCCATACATAGTTTCCCTTATTGTTAACATCTTGCATTAGTGTGACACATTTGTTACAATTGATGAACCAATATTGGTATGTTATTTTTAACTGAAGTCCCTACTTTACATTAGGGTTCACTTTTTGTGTTGTAGAATCTACAGCTTTTGACAAATGTACAATAATGATATGTACCCATGATTACCGTATCATACAGAGTAGTTTCATTACTTTGAAAATCCCTTTCTTTCCCTCTCCCTGAACCCTTGGTAACCACTGATCTTTTTATTCTCTGTTTAGTTTTACCTTTTCTGTAATGTCATATAGTTGGAATCATAGTATGTTGCCTTTTCAGATTGGCTGCTTTCACTTAGCAATATGAAATTAAGTTTTTGCCATGTCTTTTCATGGCTTGATAGCTCATTTCTTTTTATCACTGAAGAATATTCCATCATACAGTAGACCACAGTTCATTTATCTATTCACCTATCGAAGGACATCTTGGTTGCTTCCAAGTTTTGACAATTATCAATAAAGCTGCTGTATACATCTGTGTGCAGGTTTTTATGTGGACCTAAGTTTTTACCTCCTTTGGGTAATTACCAAGGGGCATGATTGCTGGATTATATTGTAAAGGAATTTTTAATTTTTTAAGAAACTTCCAGACCATCTTCCAAAGTATCTATACCATTTTGCATCAGTGAGTGAGAGTTCCTGTTCTCTACAGTCTGGCCAGCATTTGATGTTGTCAGTGCTCTGGATTTTGGCCATTCTAATAGATGTGTAGTGGGATATCATCATTGTTTTAATATCTAGTTTCCTGGCACCATATATGAGAGTCATCTTTTCATACACTTATTTGCCTAGGCTTTATTTTTTAGAGCAATTTAGGTTCATGCAATATTGAAGGGAAAGTACAGAGTTTCCATATACCCCATCCCTTATCCTCTACACAGCGTTCCCCACTGTCAACATCCCACACCAGAGTGGTACATTTGTTACAATCAGTGAACCTACATTGACACATCATTATCCACCAGAATTATAGTTTACATTACGGTTCACTCTTGGTGTTGTACATTCTATTGGCTCAAGAAATGATGTTGTGTGTCCACAATTATATCACATAGAATATTTTCACTGCCCTAAAAATTCTCCGTGCTCTACCCATGTATCTTTTCCTCCCTCAGTTGTTTTTAATAATTATAAAGTAGAATTTACTAGAGTAACAAAGTTTGTAGCCTGAGAAGATGACTGTGTAGTTTATATCACATTTATGGGTTATAAATATAGAGGGACATCTTCCTTTATAAATGTGACTTTGGGCTCTATAAGCAACTGCTTAGATTGCCAATGATGGGGGGAAATCAGAAATAAAAAGAGATTATGGAAAAGTAATATTAAATTATTTGCTTATTTCTATGATAGCTTTCTTAGTTCTGTTAAGATTGTCCTTAATTTTCTCTGATGAGAAAAGAAAGAGAACTTTTCTTCTTCCTAGCTTCCCTTTTCCTTTCAGTAAAAAGTAAAATTAAGGCATAGCAAAAAGTGGTGAGAATTCTCCCTCAGCTAATGATTTTGTAGGCTGTTTTAAACTTCTTTCAAACCATCTTGAGAACATACAACCTTGGTCCTATCTTTGTCATTAGTTTTCCATTGGCTAGAAAATTATAGTGGCTTTCTAAGTTATACACATATTATCCCTAGAACTTATAGGTCTCTGGAATGTCAGTTAAAAATTTCAAATTTCTCTTCAGTCTGTTCCAGATGTTTTTTTGTTTTTTTTTTTTTCTTTAAAAAAGTCAAAGGGACTGGACCAGGTGTGGTGGCTCATTCCTGTAATCTTAACACTTTGGGAAGCTGAGGCAGGAGGATCACTTGAGCCCAGAAGTTTGACGTTGCAGTGAGCTATGATAATGCCATTGCACTCTAGCCTGGGCAACAGAGTGAGACCCTGTCTTAAAAAGGAAAGAAAGGGGGGGGGTAGTCAGGGGCTGTAGTAGCTGCTGTGACTAGTTACTAGAATTTTTCTGATGGTCAGGCCTATTCATTGAGCTTGTAATGATTTGAACAGCTGTAGACAACATGTGGGATTCCTTGTTCTGAGAATTCTGAGCACACAATAGATAACTTGGGTTAAGCACTATTTGGTTGATTGATTTGGTTAGACCTATGAATTGTTGAGAAATTCCTTAGATTGAAATTCTTAACCTAGGCTTAAGGAGATCTCTGAAAGCCCTGAAATTGGAAGCAAAATATTATGTATACCTAAGTATGTACATATGTGTGTTTTTCTAAAAAAAGAGTGTGCATAGCTTTCATCAGATTTTCAAAAGGTCCCTGACCCAAAATACATTAAGAACATTTGCCTTAATTTTGTTGTGAACTCCAAGTAGAAGATTCTAGGTTGGATGTCATCTTATAATTCATTACTTGCATTATTGGTGAGCACAATAATAAGCTCTGATCATTTAGCACAGCAGCAGTCATCTGATCATTTTTCAAATTTTCCTGACAAAGCAATGAGGTATGATGTAACCAAGGAGATGTTGTTGGTTAGGGTTTGGTTCCATATGGAGGATGATTTCTACTTATTTGAGGCAAAATTCAGTGTTGTTAATGATAATCAGACTTTTTCTACCTCCTCAAGTGATTATTTGCCATGGCTATGCAATTTCTCTAAACCATTGGAATAATAAATACAGTATTTGTTGCCTCAAAGTCTTGTCAAAATCTATAACCAGTTGAACCTTTTTGATAAAGCTATGCAGTCTTTGGTTAATACGTTTATTATTCAACTTACAGCTCTTTAAGGAAGCTGACATTTGGAATTATATGCTATAGCTTTGATTCTGTGTTTGTTTTCAGAACTCTTCGTCTTGGCTTATACCTATCCTGCCTGATATGCTCCGACACATTTTTCAGTTCTGTGTTTTAGAAAGCAGTCAAGAAATTCTGGACCTCATTCACAAGGTACATAGTGAATATGTTTGCACTCCTTTTCCTAGTAACTTTGTAGATTTTTTTAAAATTTCATAATTGCTGTACTGTTGGTCAGGGACTTTAAGAAATTTGAAATCATCCAAGAGACTTGGAAAGTCCAGAGATCTGCAAGATGAGATGGGGAACTAGGTTTTTTATGGGATGTAATAGTTAAGCTTTGGTTGACCATGCTTCTTCCTCTTACTGAGTATCTTTTGGGATCTATTGGTAATACAGAGTCAAATTATCATGTATTTTTTCCTTAGCAAAATTGGTCATGAGTGTTGGAATCTTTAAAGGAAGGGCCGTTTGATATATTTAATAGCATTTATGGAGGGAAATGGCACTGTTGCACCTTTTTAGACTCTGTTAAGTTAATCTTCAATTGTTACCCTCTAAGGTGGCTCATTATTGACAGCCTTGGATTAACAGTAGTGTTACTTCTACATGCTGGTCCTAGCCCATTAAATGTTAGGCATCAAGAAAGTGCCTTATTAAGATCATAAATCAAGACTTAGGCCGGGCGCGGTGGCTCACGCCTGTAATCCTAGCACTCTGGGAGGCTGAGGCAGGCGGATTGTTTGAGCTCAGGAGTTCGAAACCAGCCTGAGCAAGAGCGAGACCCCGTCTCTACTAAAAATAGAAAGAAATTAATCGGACAACTAAAAACATATAGAAAAAAAAATTAGCCAGGCATGGTGGCGCATGCCTGCAGTCCCAGCTACTCGGGAGGCTGAGACAGAAGGATTGCTTGAGCCCAGGAGTTTGAGGTTGCTGTGAGCTAGGCTGGCGCCACGGGACTCACTCTAGCCTGGGCAAAAGAGTGAGACTCTGTCTCAAAAAAAAAAAAAAAGATCATAAATCAAGACTTATACTGTTTTTAATTTCTATTAGGATATTACCACCTCTAAATTTAGCAGAGAATTTTTATTAGGAGCTACTATATCTTGAAGTGTGTGTTGAATATAAGACTGCATTAACATTGAGTCTTACGATAAATGCAAAGGGTTTATTGAGATTTTCACAACTCTGTGTTATTTTTATGGGCATATTTTATTTTGAAAGGTTTTCATAAATTATTGAAGAAGATTCCTTTATTCCCCCCTTGAAAAAAAAACTTCCCTTTGCATTACTTTTTAGTATACAAACCTATCAAAAAATAGCACCATATTTCAAAATAAGCGTTTGTATTGAATTTTTAAATTAATCTCTGTGCTATTTTCTACTTTCTTTTTTTAATTCAGTATTCCTAAAAATAAGTATTAGGTTTTGTTAGCACTTATTGGAAAAATTTCACCTCCCTGTTTTCCTTTTATACTGTAGGTTTGGATGGAGCTGTTGAGCAAGGCTTCTGTTCAGTATGTGGTAGCAGCTGCTTGCCCATGGATGGGTGCTTGGCTTTGCTTAATGATGCAGCCTTCTCACTTACCTATTGATTTAAATATGTTGCTAGAAGTAAAAGCGAGAGCCAAGGTAAGTGTATAGGGTCATAATGTATTTGTATGTTCAACTCACAATTATTAACATAGTAGCCATGTAAGAAATCTGTATTACTTTGTTAAATGTGATTTCATTAATTTAATATAAGTAAGGAGAAATTTTTATTTTATTAGGACCCTGACAAAATGAGTAGTAATTTTTATCCATTAAAATTTTCTGAAAAGAACTATTTTACTGGGATTCTAACAAATGATTGTATTTTTATTGTTGCCTACTAAATTTTAATGATTACTCCTTAATTATTATTTTCCCTCCCCCTTTCCCTCTAGGAAAAAACAGGTGGTAAGGTGCGCCAAGGCCAAAGCCAGAATAAAGAAGTACTTCAGGAATATATTGCAGGTGCAGACACCAGCATGGAAGACCCAGCCACCAGGGATTTTGTGGTTATGCGGGCCAGAATGATGGCAGCCAAGTGAGTATATGTTAAGTGTCAGGTAATCATAAGTTCACTGGTCTGGCTTTCAAAGGTTATTTAACCAAAGGATTTCTCTGATGTGTCTGTCAGTACTTCTTTTATCACACTAGTTACAGCTTAAGAAAAAATTAAAAAGTAATTAAATATTTTTAATTTTTTTAAGTTTTAAAATACAATTTGTATCTTCTTATGAAGATAAGATAGGAGTTGTTTCTTCTATGGGAAAAGTTATGGCTTCAGTAAGGGAAATTTTACTTCAAGTAATTTCTATAGTAACTTCCTTTTTTCTCCCTCTCAGGTTGTTAGGAGCACTTTGCTGCTGTATTTGTGATCCAGGTGTAAATATGGTAACCCAAGAAATTAAACCAGCTGAATCCCTGGGCCAGTTACTGCTCTTCCATTTGAACTCCAAATCTGCCTTACAGAGGATTAGTGTAGCTTTGGTAATCTGTGAATGGGCTGCTTTACAGAAGGTAAGATTTTGTCCCAAAAATAATAAAGACAAATTAAGTGAACCAATTTCCACTAGCTGTTAGTATTATTTACGTCATATTTTATAACAGCAAAGTGAAAATATTCTCTGTATAAAAATCCAACAGTTATAGAAAGTATTACGGATTATATTGAACATTATTTCTATCTTTACCTTTAACCCTAGACATTTTTCTTAGAACCACCATTCTTGTACCTGAGAATACGAGCTATGCCCATACTTAATGTTTGCTCTTGACCCTACAGTATGTTAAGAAATGTTCCTATTAAAAATGTGTATATGGCCGGGCGCGGTGGCTCACGCCTGTAATCCTAGCACTCTGGGAGGCCGAGGCGGGCAGATCATTTGAGCTCAGGAGTTCGAGACCAGCCTGAGCAAGAGCGAGACCCCGTCTCTACCAAAAATAGAAAGAAATTAATCAGACAGCTAAAAATATATAGAAAAAAATTAGCCGGGCATGGTGGTGTGTGCCTGTAGTCCCAGCTTCTCTGGAGGCTGAGGCAGGAGGATCGCTTGAGCCCAGGAGTTTGAGGTTGCTGTGAGCTATGATGATGCCATGGCACTCTAGCCTGGGCAAGACAGTGAGACTCTGTCTCAAATAAAAAAAAAAAAAAAAAAAGGTGTATATATGGAAGCAGTCCAGAAACTGTTGGTCATCCATTCTTCTAGGTTTTGAGTATTAGAGATCCGTTTGTATGGATAGTAGCAATGGCAGAATTTTAAATCACAGGAAAAATAAAATCTCCACATTTAAATCAAAATCTTCATGTTTCCAATAAATCATTCCCTTCTATCCTCTTTAATGTTTACTTCTATTAATAGTAAGATGTACGATTTTGTGTAAGACTTGCTTCTGTAAATCAAAGAAACTTCCTACTGGCTTTGTTTGTTGACTGGAATTCTGGAAATTTAACTGTCTGCACTTGCTGTGAGAGTTGCTTGTTACTGCCTGTTAGCAGTTTGTCAAAGCTGTGTCTAAACGTAATTGAGCCATGCTCTATTACAGCTGAGACCCCTGCTTTGCCTCTGGAAAGAAGCAAAGCTCATCTATTTTTAGGCAGGACTCGGTGTGCTGGAGAGGCAGTGATGCTATGTTTTTGTGCCTCTCAGACTCAGCAGCAAGTGTTGACAGTTCGGTTTCTGGACCCTCACAGAGCTTCTCTGGACTTACTCTGTGAAGCCCAGGCTGATCACCCAGATCCCACAGAACCCCTCATGGCTCACCACTGAGGCCATTCCTCCTCTGGTTGGGGCAGGCAACAACCAGAGAGAGTGGGAAGGGTTAGTTAAATTTGGGGGCAGGTAAGTAGCTTTTAAATTATGTATCCATTTCTACAATATGGCATGTGAAGCTGTGGGCTCAACTGTTAAGAAATCTAATAATGAGTTTTTAAATCACATTTTTAGTTAGTGCATGCTAGATTTTTTTCTGACTGATTTCTTTTTTTACAGAAATATACTTTAAAATCTGTGCTTTCTATATATACACATATAAACTTGGAATAAATTCAGAGTAAAGTAAGAGTAATGAGGTAGAAAATTTAATGGAATTTTAATAGTTCTGTGTGCATGTTCTTTAGTTATTCATATTAAAATTTTAGAGTAGCTTGGGTATAATACCTTTCTCTAACTAACTATGTTCTGGGAAGTAACAGAACATAGATTCAAAATACATAGGAATTGAGAACTTGGTAGTCAACAAGGGAAGATTTAGGTATCTATATGTTGATATATTTTTCCTCACGATTTTTTGTCTATTATATTTTAGGAGTGTAAAGCTGTTACCCTAGCTGTGCAGCCACGTTTACTTGCTATCCTTTCAGAACATTTATATTATGACGAAATTGCTGTTCCATTCACACGAATGCAGAATGAATGTAAACAGCTCATATCATCATTAGCTGATGCACATATTGAAGTTGGTAATAGAGTAAACAACAATGTTTTAACAATAGATCAAGCTAATGACCTGGTGAGTAAAATGAAATAGCTCTCTTAATTTTAGATAGAGTATGAGAGTAGGAATAGAAATTTATTGTGACATGTTTACCACAAAAACCTACCAATATGTTGAGTCTGTCTGTGGCTTGGTAGCCTGTCACCTCTGTCCTTTAGAAAGGTTTTTCATTGTATTGACTTTTTTTCAAATAAGAGGATAGGAAAGAAATTTTTTTTAAACTCAAATTCTGACAAATCAATGCATCTTTATTAGAAAAAGCTGTTAAATTTTGTCATTTCAGTTTTACTTAAGACTGGCAGAGTATAGAAATTACTGCTGCTACAATTTCTTCTCTCTACTCCCAGCCTATAATGAAAATAATCAAATGTACAGAAAACGTGAGAGAATTACACAATGAACACTCATACACAACAGCTAGATTCTACAGTTAACACTTTACTAAATTTGCTTTATCACATATATATTCAACTGTCTACTCCTCTATCTAACCATCAATCTGTCTTATTTTTTTGATAACATTTCTGTTAGTTTCAGATACCAGTACACTTTAGCATGTATATAATTAACTAAAATTCAATGATTGTTTATGATTTTTTGCTCTGTTTTGAGGTTAAGTTTATGTAGTAAAGTACACGAATCTTAGGTGGACCATTTGATGAATTTTGACAGATGCATATACCTATGAAACCCAAACCCCTATCAAGATACAGAACACAATCATCTCTACTTCCCAGTCAATCTCTGCCTCTCTCTGCCCCCAACTAACCATGATTCTGATTTTTCTCCCACTGTAAATTACTTTTGCCTGTTCTACAATTTCATATAAATAGAATTATACATTGTGATCTTTGGTGTAAGGATCTTTTTCAGCATGATGTTTTTGAAATTTATCCATGTTATATGTATCAATAATTCTTATTTATTGCTGAATTTTATTCCATTGTATGCATATACCACAATTAGTTTAAGCCATTTTCCTATTGACGGATACTTGGGCTGGTCCCAGTTTTGGCTGTTGTGAACAAAGCTGCTATATAAACATTCTTCTATAGCTATTTTTGTGGACTTTTTTTTTTTTTTTTTTTCCGAGACAGGATCTCAATTTGTCATGTGGGCTAGAGTGCAGTGTCATCATCATAGCTCACTGAACCTCAAACTCCTGGGCTCCAGTGATCCTGCTGCCTCAGCCTCCTGAATAGCTGGGACTATAGGTGTGTGCTACCACACCTGGCTGATTTTTCTATTTTTTTTTTTTTTTGTTGAGACAGGGTCTCACTTGTGCTCAAGCTGGTCCCAAACTCCTGGCCTCAAGCAATCCTCCCACCTTGACCTCCCAAAGTGCTAGGATTATGGGCATGAACTCCTGTGCCCAGCCTGTGGATATATATTTTCATTTTTCTTGGATAAATATATAGGAATGGAATTGCTGGGTCATAAGACAGGTATATGTTTAGTTTTATAGGAAACTACAGATCTTTTCCCAAAGTAATTGTATCATTTTACCCTCTCACCGTCAATATGCGAGAGTTCTGTTTACTCTAAATCATCACTAATGTTTGGGGTGGTCAGTCTTTTTAATTTTAGTCATTCTGGTGGTTGTTTGATCACTGTGTCACTGTGGTTTTAATTTGCATTTCCTTGATGACTAATATGGTGAATACTTTTTTATCTCTTATTGGCCATTTGTATATTTTCCGTTCTGAAATGTTTGTTCGAACTTTTGTCCACTTTTAATTAGGTTGTTTACTATTGCATTGTAGGAGTTCTTTGTATATCTTGGCACAGTGTGGCTTGCCTTTTAATTCTCTTAATGGTGTCTGCATGAGCAGATATTTTAAATTTTGGTGAAATCTAATTCATCAGTTGTTTTCTTTTATGGTTATTGTGTTCTGTGACATGTGTAACCTTTTGCTATCTACAAGTAGCAAAGGTATTCACATATGTTTTCTTCTAAAGTTTTGTAGTTTTAGCTTTTATATTTAGATTTATCATCCATGTTCAGTTAATGTTTGTGTAAGTGTGAAGTGGAGGTTGAGGCTTATTTGTTTTTCTTATAGATACCTAGTTTTTCCAGCATTGTTTATTGAAAAGACTTTCCTTTCCCCGTTGGATTGATTTTGCACCTTTGTAAAACATCAACTGAATTACAAGTGTGAGTCTATACCTGGGCTCTATTTGCTTGGTCTATTTCTCTCTCCTTATGCCAGCATCAATGGCTTGATTACAGCAGCTCTGTACTTAATATGCCTGTAAGGTTGAGTAGTGTAAATGAGTTCTTCCTTTTTTGAGTTATAGGGTCAGAAATTGAACCACTTCATTTACGTTGGTCCCCATGAAATAGTAATCTTTATTTCTTTTATCGCCCTTTCTAGTTGAAATATATTAATAACATGGTTGAAATTTTTTTGTTCTCACTTGTAAGAGAAAGCTAAAATTACCACTTTTTCCCCCTGAGTTCTTCTTATATAAAGTTGTTTTTCTCATTGTTGTTATCCTGTAAATTTCCCCTTTTGCCTCCTCCAACCTTAAATCTCTCAAATTTTCTTTATGGTCTTGGTTCCCTTCCTACTATATCTGGGAACTTTTCTTTCTAAAGCTCATCACATGGCCCCTTTTTCAGGGTATTATGCAGAGCCCTTACTCCCCAGTGAAACTACCATTCTGCTTCATCAGTTGCATTAGTCAAGTTCTTTTGACCTGGGATAGAAGACAAGCATAAATATCAATCTTTGGAAGAGAGGATTGAGGGAAGGGCAGTTTTCAAAGGTCCATTGGCTAAGAGCCATTACCCTTTGTATCTGTCATTGAAATACCTATTTTCCTATTACCTGCCAAATATGGGCATTTCCCTGAGGTCTATCCCTGTCTTTTTCACCATCTTCATGATTTAATTCTGACCTATATGCCATCTACTCTCAATCTTTTTTTTTTTTTTTTCCCCTGGACACAGAGTCTCACTCTGTTGCCCCCCGGGCTAGAGTGCTGTGGCGTCAGCCTAGCTCACAGCAACCTCAAACTCCTGGGCTTAAGCAATCCCTCTGCCTCAGCCTCCTGAGTAGCTGGGACTACAGGCATGTGCTACCATGCCCGGCTAATTTTTTCTATATATTTTTAGCTGTCCAACTAATTTCTTTCTATTTTTAGTAGAGACTGGGTCTCACTCTTGCTCAGGCTGGTCTCAAACTCTGACTCCAGTGATCCTCCCGCCTCGCCTCCCAAAGTGCTAGGATTACAGGCGTGAGCCACCACGCCCGGCCTACTCTCAATCTTTTTTATATTCTTCTGTTAGGCATTTTTACTTAAATATCTCACTTCACTTCAGATTTAACCAAAACTGGGATTTTTTTTTTTAACAGAAAAATGCCCTTTTGTTCCAGAGTCACAAATCTTGTCAGCATTTTCTTTCTGAAAGTCTCATGTGTTTATTTTTTCTCTGTTTCCATTGTCACAGCCCAGTCAAAGGCCTTACTACTTTTAAGTCTAGGTCCTGACTTATCTTTAAGTCTCGAGGTAGTCTCTGGTCTATTTCATTCTGCATGCTGTGCTAGAATAGTAATGTACCTTTAGTGCCATTCTGAACATGTCCCTCCCCTGCTTAAAAATATTATTTTCTTTTTCTTTGCTTTTTCCTTTTTTACTTTCATCATCATCTCTGAATTCTTTTTTCTCCTCATTATTTCTCAAACTTCCTCCTCTCAAGCCCTAGTTTGCTTTCTTCTTGCAGAAGTCCACCACACTCATTCACTTCTGTATCTTACTCATTCTCACTGCTATGCCTGAGCTTCTAATTTGCTTTTCCAGGAATTCCTTACACCTAACTCTCTGTGCTCATTTCTTGATACTTCTCTTTTGTACCTTATGCTCAGGTTATGATAAACTGTTCTCAGTTCCTTAGATAATGCCCTGCTTTCCACTCCCTACCTCACTTTGTTTATTTGTCAAGATGTGCCTGTAACCTCTGCCTTACCCATTCTTTTTTTTTTTTTTAATTACCTTACCCATTCTTTAAAAACCAAGCACAAGTGTGTTACCCTCCTCTGGCAAGTCTCTGCTAATCTATTCTGCTAGGAAGGGTTAAGAAACCCTCTGTACTCCACAGCATCTTACACTTACCTCAGTTATATATTAAATTTTCTTAATTCTTTACTTGTATATCTCTCTCCCACATTAGTCTCTGCATTCTTTGAGTGTATTAAGCCATTAAGTCTTACTCATCTTTTAGTACTACTTATTAGTATTCAATTTAGTATTATTGGTTGAATGATTGAATTAATTTGGGGGTAATTGGGAAGCCTTCCTTATTTGTCTATAATCATTGAAAATTAACATATGCATAGTATATTTAGGACAATGTTTTCAAACTTTTAGCTGTTTAACTCTGTTTCAAATAAATCTTATGCAGAACTGAAATAAAACAGACAAAACAAAGTAGAAAAAATAAGCTAGAAGTGGTGTTCGATTTTTGTTCCTTTGTGATGAACAGATTGACATGATCAAACAGATATAGTTCAATTTAAAGTTTTTAGTGTGTTATAATGATGAAAGATCTTATTTGTATGCCTATTTTATTTTACGTAACAAAAGACCAGTATTATCAGTGTTGTCCATAGTGGAATTGATAACTTTTAAGTCTTAAAAATTAGGTTCTCCGTTTCAAAAAGTTAGGTTCTCCAATGTTACAGGCATTTCTGACCAATAATGATCAGACTGGATCTATTTATGGAGGCTCTTTATGATTGTAGTTACCGGTCAAACAACATACAATTACCTATCAAAACATTTTTATGTAAACCATGACACAATCTTTAAATGGTTAATAAAAGAATATATGGACTTGTCGTAGTGTCTCACTCCTGTAATCAATCCCAGCACTCTGCAAGGCCAAGGCGGGAAGATCACTTGAGCTCAGGAGTTCGAAACCAGCCTGAGCAAGAGCGAGACCTCGTCTCTACTAAAAAACTAGAAAAAATTAATCAGGCATGGTGGCACACACCTATAGTCCCAGCTACTTGGGAGACTGAGGCAGGAGGATCACCTAAGCCCAGGAGTTTGAGGTTGCAGTGAGCTATGATGATGCCACTGCACTCTAGCCGGGCCAACAGCAAGACTCTTGTCCCTCTCCCCCAAAAAAAAGCCCACACAATGTTGATAGCAGCGTTATTCATAATAGCTAAAAGGTAGGAACAACCTGAATGTTCATTCATTGATGAATGGATAGATAAAATGTGGTATATCCATATGGTGAAATATTATTAGACAAAAAAAAGGAATAAAGTACTTATACGTGCTACAACATGGACGAACCTTGAAATCATTATGCTAAATGAATGAAACCAGTCATCAAAACTCATATTTTATGATTCCATTCATATGAAATATCCAAAAAGACAAATCTACAAAGAGGAAGGAGATAAGTGGGTTCCATAGGGTTGGGGGGAAATGAGAAGTGATTGTTAAGGGGTATGAGTTTTCTTTTTTGGTTGATGAAGAAGTTCCAAAATTGTAGTGATTTCACAATTCTGTGACTTAAAAAAACCCACTGAATTGTATACTTCATATGGGTAAATTTTATGATTGATGAATTATATCTCAATAAAGTTGTTTAAAAAGATGGACTGAATAGTCTTTTAATGGGGTTCGTAAAGTCTGGTATGACAGTCTTATAGTCTTAGACAGCTCTTGGTAATTAAAAAATTGATGACTACTATAACATTTTTGTTTTCTTTTTCTCCTTTTCCTATTGCCTGGGCATTTCTACCAGAAAGGAGGTCAAATAATTCAGTTTAGCAACATTTAGCCACTCAGCAAACAGCTACCCTAAGTTTTTCTGGGTTTTCGAATTGGAAAGAATATTTTTCCCAAAAAGAAGTTTGTGAATTTTGTTATTCTTTAATTAACGGTTAAGTTTATATTTGCTTTAGCTTTCTCATTTCACCAATGTATTCTGTGAGTGTTAAGGTGATTTTCCTCAAACTCATTAGATATATTTAAAGGATAAGTAATTTTATTCTTCTCAATGTATTTTTATTAAAGAATATAATGCTAATGTTAAATCAGATTAAAATCAAGTTTATTTGGGAGTTTTTAAACTTTATTGAGTGCTAAAACAAAAAGTCGAAACAGAGACCTTGCTGTCCTTTAGTAGTTTACAGTCTATTTTGGGTTGATATGATTAATGATTTTTAATTTCTTTTTTTCTTAATAGGTCACCACTGTTTTTAATGAAGTCACATCATCTTTCGATGTAAATCCTCAAGTGTTACAGCAGTTAGATAGCAAACGACTGCAGGTCCAAATGACAGTTACAGAGACCAACCAGGAGTGGCAAGTGTTGCAGTTGAGAGTACATACTTTTGCTGCATGTGCAGTTGTGAGTTTGCAGCAGCTTCCAGAGAAATTAAATCCTATCATAAAACCATTAATGGAGACGATTAAAAAAGAAGAGAATACACTAGTGCAAAACTATGCAGCTCAGTGCATAGCTAAACTACTTCAGCAGTGCACGACAAGGACGCCCTGTCCCAATTCAAAAATTATTAAAAACCTCTGTAGCTCACTTTGTGTGGACCCATATCTAACTCCTTGTGTCACATGTCCAGTACCAACACAGAGTGGCCAGGAAAATTCTAAAGGTATATACCTAAACCTTTATTTGGGGTAGAGAAAGAATTAACCATTTAAATTTGTTTTCATCTACTTAGGAGTATAAGCACAAATCCAGTTTATGTTAGAGCCTTTTCCCATTCTGAGAGAAAAAGCTCAGTTATAACAAACTCCTTGTTACATGATGTGGACATACTGCTAATTAGTCATACCCTCTAAATTCAAGCCGTTCATAGAACATCTGATATCAGGTGACTGAAATACGTGAGACAGATGTTCATCCTCACCTTTACCTTCAAAACAATCATTGTATGGCTTACTGTATCTAGGCTGGATTGTATCAAATGTCACTTAATGAGAGTTCTTATAAAATCTCTGGTTTCTCTAATTTTGTGCATGTTTTATGAAATGAGTAAACTCTAGTAAATAATATTTAACCAACTTTTCTGTTTTCAACTGGAGAATTTCTATGGAAAATGAGAACTGCTGTCTCAAGGACCGATGTTTCTTCACATGACTGATTCCGGATTTGTTTTTTTGTTAATAAGATTTTAGAAAATCAAATTATTTGAAATGTAATAGATTTACAACTTTGGCACCATACAGATCTTGAAAAAAATGTGAACAAACTAGAAGAAGAAGGTGGATATTTTGAACATTAACATCTTAAAAACTCAGTGAAGTCATTCTCCTTTCCTTCTCCTCCTGTACCTCATTGCTGTGTGAGGCAGCATTATTTTGCAGTGGTCAATGTTTTTCTGAATTCATGGTGACTATGGACATTTCTTTTAGAGACAACTCACGTGAAATGTTTTTTAATGGTTATGCCTGCACACGATTTACTTTTTAAAAATTAATATCCTTTAACTGAAGTGACAATAATTTTTGTATGTGATGTTTCTCACGTTCACATGATTATATAGGTTGGATTGTATTAGGTATAAACCCTATGCAAATAGACTATTTTGTTAACCATTTCATTGTCTGAAGAAAAGATAAGCAACCTATAAAAACTGAGGCCTGAAAGACATAGTTTTAAAATATGTTACATCTCTTTTAGAGCAGGAAACATTCGGTCACCTATATTATGATTAAAAAATTATTTAACTTTCTCGTTTATTAGGATCCAACTCAGAAAAAGATGGAATGCACCATACAGTGACCAAGCACAGAGGTATAATTACACTCTATAGGCATCAGAAAGCTGCTTTTGCTATCACAAGTAGGCGAGGTCCTACCCCCAAAGCGGTAAAAGCTCAAATAGCAGATCTTCCTGTAGGAAGTAGTGGAAATATTCTTGTTGAACTTGATGAGGTAAATAATATTTTTCTTTGAATGCTTTGATTTTTTTAAACATATCTGGCTTACAGATTGAGAGCTAAGTTGTCAAATTAGCTTCCAAAACTGTATTTTTAAGTGAAAGAACTAGTAATAATAACCTTTTGGAGTAGTCCAGCAACATGATCCAGAAAAACAGCAGAGTTCTTCAAATTTCTCATGCCTCTTGTAATTTTTAACAGCTTAACTTTATCTTCCTAGGCAAGGAACCTTTGCGATAGTGGATCCATAAGTTATTCATAAATATAAATCTAATTCACTCCCATAGCAGTGACTACAGAGAAGTTATTAAATAACAGTGAAAGCTAATTTTGCTCAGTCCTTTCACTGTCAGGAATGCCTGTTGATATTCAGAGGATAAGTTTACAAATGTCAGATAATTGCCACACATTTGACTTTCATTGGGCCTGAAATTTATTAAATGTGTATGTGAGATAGGGATCTAAATTTATTTTTCCATGTGAACAGCCAGTTAGTTATCCCACTGTTGAATCCTTTCCTTATTTGTAATAGCATCTCTGTTATACATCATGCTTCATATTTGTGAGGGTCTATTCAGGTTCTCCATTCTCTTCATTGGCCTATCTGTTCCACATTACAGTCTTTAAAGACAAGTAATAACCAGTGAAGAAAAGTACTTGGTTTTGAAAATCTTACAGTCATGTTATTAAAAATGGAATGGATGCTCTAGTCACTTGTTTTGTTTGCAAGACGTGGGAACTTACCTGAGTTCAGCAGTAAACTATCAATGCTAAAAGGCATGTTTCTGTAAAATATAGGCCTGTTTCTTTTCTTTGTCAACAGCTTATTATCTATACTCCTTCTAAAACATTCTGTGCAGTCTTTTTCACCAATTTAATCTCCCTATAATAATTTTAATCAATTTTACTGTGATTTTGATATTTATACTTTATGGTTTGCATAGTTCTTCCTTCACTTAAAGTAATTAAA